ACTGAACAAGAAAGTTTCAATATTTTAAATCCAGTCAGGGGTGGTGAGGCCCCTAAAAATGGTGTTTGGGGTGAAAACTGGGGTCATCCCTAATTGTATTTCCTGAACAATTGTCCAAAAACGTATGTATGCGTTTCTGCAAAATATTGTGTAAAATTGTAGAGCAGGGTGGAAGAGACTTTGGAGAAAATGTCTTAAAAGCATGCTTTTTTTTACCTCTTATGTTTCAGTTTCTGCTGTGAATATTAAGTTGTAGCCATGTTTTGGTTTGAAATGCTTTGAAGGTTTTTGCTTATTCTGGCCTTTTTTATGATCTATATGGGCCGTTTTCTCTATTTTCCACGCTTCCTCTTTTCTGCTTTTCCTTATTCGATTTTAATTTAAATTTTCATGTTTACACCTAAAACTATCACGGAGGAATTGTTTTGATTACGTGTTTAAAAAAGATTGATAAACTGCTTCAGAACTGAGAAAACCATAGTAAAAATTCGACTCAAAAGCTTTAAAAATCTTGCATCGATCTTTTATTTGCCGGAATTTTTTTTTCTACTGTAGACTTATCAAATGTTAACATTTGTTTTTATCAACAGGCGCAGATTGAGAGCGGCCTAGACAGGTTGTGTGACTTCGCCCCCAATCCCCTGAGGCCTAAGTGTGAGAACTTGGTCCAACAACGCGGGTCACTTCTGGTCCAACTGCTGCAGCAGATTCCTAAAGACCGTCTGTGCATCCTCATCTGCCGCTCCAACAACGCTGAAAACTAGATCTAGAGGTACCTCCTGGGGCGTTCCAATAACTGTTGAGAATATTCTTTTCTTCTCTGGATCTAGACGTAATCCTGGGCCTTTCCAGTGACTGTTTAGAATCTTCGTTTCTACTCTGGATCTAGGGGTTATTCTTGGGCTTTCCAATAACTGTTTAGGGGGTGAATGTTTTTTTGTTTACGCTTTCATATTTTTGTTCTCGCGGTATTTTCTCGAGCGTCTTGACTTTGGCTAGGGCCCTGGATCCTGCTCGGGCAAAGCCCAATTATTTTTTAAAATCGGAGAATCGGGGTCTATTTTGTCATGTGCAGGATTCTACGTGGTGCTCTGTTCACACAAAAGGCTTTTTTTCTCTCTAAAAATTCCGGTATTTTTTCTCCATTTGAGCTCCCCCCCCCCTCATAACTGTTACCATATTTAAGTTTTTGGACCCTTGTTCAGTTTCTCTATAACCGAACAAATATACACACCAATGAAACCAAACTCCTACAGGTAGGACAATGCCCACTTTTGGTAAAGGTCAAGATTTCTGGAAACCCCCGAAATCTGCGTTGCCCGCTTGTCCTTAAAAGTGCAAATTTATGAACATTATTTGCATTCGTCTTTTAATTACTCGTGTGGAGTCGGAAGTCCGATAACGAGCTTTATGCGCTTCACATGTACCTGTATCAATAGTACTGTTAACTTGGAGGCTTGTTCAATCGATCAAATCATTTTGTCTTAAAATTATATACGAAGTAGATATACAGTATCGCATTGTTACCTGCACTTAAAATTAGCACTGCATACATACAGACTATTTGAGTATGGGGGGATTAATCACTATGCTTTATTACATTATACAACGTACACCAATTGACTAATAAAAGCAGTAAATGTTCCTGTATTAGTATACCTACTTTTGCCTACCCCTTGTATGTTGCGTCGACCCTTCACGGACACATTTCTACATTTCTGGTACAGGAAGATTGTGTGAGCCCCTGCTGTGAGTGAGATGAAGGACCGAGTGTGTATAGTTGTCGCGGGAATTGTCTCCACGAAGTTCGGCCACGCCAGGGAGTGCGTCCATGCCATGTCCACACGGGTGACGTCACAAGACCTCGTCCCATCGGTCACTCTGTTCGTCCGTTGGTGCTCCACTTCTTGCCACAGCAGGCCCGCGTCTTCCCCAGTCTCTGATGACGTATTATGTAGACCATTGTTGGCTTGTTTTATGTAGTAGACCATTGTTGGCTTCTTGTTTTATGATGTTGTAGACAACTATTGTATTTGTTGTAGACCGCTGTTGATGTAGCTCTATTGTTTTATAAAGTTGTAGACCATTTGTGCTTTTATGAAGTTGTAGATCACTGGATCTCACGTTCATCAGTGTCTTTCTTCGTCTCTTTGCCTTGCAGCACTTGATCAGACTTGTACAAGACTACGTACAAAAGGTGAAACTCTGTGAAATTACAGAATGTTTAGACGATTTGTATGTCGTCCTTGTTCAGCTTGCTTAGAATTTCAAATTGTTATTCACAACCCTCAATGGTAATTGATGGTACGATATGCACGCAAAAAAACCCAACATAAAATGTAATTCTGGTAATTATTAATTTTTTGGTGTACCAATCCATGGAATTGGTATGAAA